ATATCAAGCATGCATTTTCTTTATGGAAACATACAAGTGGATTGTTTAAGAATGATTTACATCAAGCATTTCTTATGGTTATATAAATATTAAATATATGTGCATGTTGACGTGGGAGTATCACATGGAAAAGGAGGCTCTTATGAGCCATGGAAAAGGAAGCTCTTATGAGCTATGGAAAAGGATGGTTCCTATGAACCAATGGAAAAGGAAATGGCCAAATTATGTGTACCTGATCAGTACAAGTGATACTCCTGAGACGGGTGTTATAGTTATAAATATATTAAACTATTTATGAATGTTTCATACATGTTATATACAATTGAAATTACTACTTGAGGCATGATGTTCTCTAAAGGATGAAAGGAAAGGTTATGGAAGGATTATGCATTTTGAAAGTTGAGGTGAAGGTATGTTCTTCTTTGAGTACAACTTTTTTTATGATTGATGATTCTTTTATTAAAATTTCCCAAGCATGCTATAGTTCTCTATCTTAATGTTAAAGTTCATTTGAATTTCCATTCTCACCTATTGAGTATAAGACTCACCCTCGTTGTGGGAATACTTTTCAGGAGGATCTAGGAAGGGGTAAATGGCCAACCAACCACCGCGCACCAACCGTCGTAGGGAGACGACGGGCGGCAGGTTCTTTTGTGTTTTGATGATTTGTATTGAAAGATTAAAATTAGAATGTAAGAGGAAAAGGTTATACTTATGGATCCCCTTTTGTATCTTTTGTAATCTTAATGTTAAATCCATTGATTTGTGATCTTTGAAAGAAAGAAAAGAAAAAGTTTATGTTTGGAAATTATAGTGGCTCTTTCTTTATGTTGATGCTTCATTTTGGAGTTATATTAATTGTTTTATAAAGTTTCTTTTATCTTCTTTATGTCCGATCTCTGTTCCCGCCTCGCACTTGCGAGCTAACCGGGCCGAGTCGTGACATAAAATGGATTTGTTCAATCCAAGCTATGTGTGGACTGAGTTTTAATAGTTCATCCACAAATGTCCATGAAGACTAGATTTTTCCCGTATGGTGCATATTGTATAGACAGTTAATGAGGGACCAAAGAAAAAAAAAAGTTCCTCTGCTCTAAAACAAGAAGATTGCATAATTCACAGAAAAAGGGAACACTAATATCCACAGTGAAATTATTTGTAGCTTGTCACAAATCCAAGCTAACTGTTTGTGATCTCCACCCTTCCCTAAGCGGACAAAAAGTTTAACAAATCACTTTAGAATATTAAGATGCATTTGACAAGACCACATAATACCATGGAAGTCATATGTCTAACCCTCTCTTTAAATATCAGAAATGAAGCCACATCTTCTGGCAAAAATATGAACAAAGCCCATCAAAGGTACTGAGCTAAAAATATACAAAAGCAAACATGATATTTCTTCCATGACCATTAACAGGAAATGATTGACTCGTACTCTAGTTATAGCCATTGAAGCATGATAAACAAATTAACAACTGACTCATGACTTCTCTTTCTGTTTTATTTCTTACTCTTGTTCTTGTCTTTTACCATCATTCCATCATTTCCTTTTCTCTCCACTAAAAATGATGCTCAACAACTTTAGGGCATAAAAAAGCCCCCTCTTGAGCTAAATAAAAATAATTTTCGCAAAAAAAAAAGATAAAATAATATTTCTGCTCCTCTCGAACCTACTCACATTCATGATAACATTTCACATACAAAGTAAAAATTAAACTAAAAAGAAGTAACGGTTATCCTAGGGCATAACTACTCCTAATCCCCCATTCCTTAGTATTGAACAAACTCCTCAAATAAAATCATAAAAGTTCATTTTTTTAGATAGGGCTTTGGCAATGCCCAAACTTTAGATAGGACTTCTTTGAAAGTGAACATAGTTCGGTGTTTTTGAAATACAAATCTGAAGTGGTTCAACCTAATTGACCCACCTAAATAGGTCATATATATATATATATAACCCAATTGGAACTAAGTAATTTGCCTAATTGCATATCATCCAAAACATCAAATCCTAAGAAGTTGTACTTGCATGATTGCATCTGATGGCCAAAAGGATATATGATGCAGGACTAAAATGTGTTAAATGGATGCGTTAAGAATTGCACGATTTCTTGAATAAGCAAGTAAGATTAAAAATTATTAGCAATCAAAAAAACAATAAAAAACAAGAGAATGGTGCCTACGTTTAGGCTAAGCCACTTGCCAAACGCTTGAATTATCAAAACAAGTTAGAAATTCAACATGCGAAGTAAATAGCTTTCAACAAAATCTCTAATCTAACAATAAGATTAGAAGCATAGAAAGCACGCTCAATCCTACGTTTACTAAGCTTAGGCATAAGGCGAAGCACGGATCTTGTGATTCGTCATCACCAACAAGATTAGGGTATTAGGAAGGTAATTGAAAAGGGGAAGAAGTTCACCTTTGTCAAAACTGAACAAGCATGCGAGATGTTGAATAAGTTCGTCGTAGCTTCCCTTGAAGGTTCAACTGGAGAGGAAGAAGCCTCTCCCAAGCATGAAGTGTTGAAGGTAATGATCCTTTGTTGTCCTTGCCATTTCCCCTTGAAAGAGAGATGTTTCTTTCAAGAATCCAAGTAGGAAGTGGCAAGAGAGGGTGGCCGGCCTAGGGGAAAAGGTTTTGGGAA